CATTCCAATCCCCTAGAATGAGAAGAACATCTTTCTTCGCTGTCATTTCTAGAAGGTGTTGTAAGTCTTCATAGAATTGGTCAGTTTCAGCCTCTTCAGCATTGGTGGTTGGTGCATAAACTTGGATTACTGTGATGTTGAAAAGTCTGCCTTGGATTCGTATTGAAATAATTCTATCATTTTTGAGATTATATTCAAGTACAGCTTTTCCCACTCTGATGTTGACTATGAGGGCTACTCCATTTCTTCTATGGGATTCTTGCCCACACCAGGAGATATGATAATCATCTGAATTGAATTTGCCCATTCCCATCCATTTTAGTTCACTGATGCCCAGGATGTCAATGTTTATTCTTGCTATCTCCTGTTTGACCACCTCCAGCTTCCCAGTGTTCATAGATCTTACATTCCAGGTTCCTATGCAGTATTTTTCTTTGCAGCATCGGACTATCCTTTCACTTCCAGGAGTGTCCACACTTGAGCATCCTTTCAGTTTTGGCCCAGCCACTTCAATAGCTGTGGAGCTACTTGTCCTTTACTTTTCCTCAGTAGCATGTTGGACGCCTTCCGACCTGAGGTGCTCACCTTCCAGCGTAATCCCTTTTAGCCTTTTGTTTCTGTCGGGGAAGTTTTCTTGGCAAAGATACTGGAGTGGCTTGCCAGTTCCTGTTCCAGGTGGATGGCGTTTAGTCAGATCTCTCCACTATGACCTGTCCATCTTGGGTGTCCCTGCACAGCATAGCCCATAGCTTCTCTGAATTACTCAAGCCCCTTCGCAACAAGAGGAAGAGTATTTGCTGCCACCTGCTGGACAGAACAAAACAGGCAGCATTATACAGTATGTACTGTGTATTTTCTAGTTTTGTTTCCATTGGGTTTTTTTAAAAAGTACTTTTTTTTCAAAATTGCCAACATTTTCAGAAATCCAGGTGTACATTTCTTAGTTTAATTCACTATTGGTGTGCAAAATTGTATGAAAATATTTAAATAAAAGGATTTTGAAATAGGTTATGCATGTTCAAAGATGTAGAGGAGAAAGACAGCAGAAATTTTGAAAAAGGTGTCTGTTTCATAAATCAGTCAGGATGAAATACAGTTAAAATAGGTTTTTTAAAGAAAAAGATTAGGGATGCAATCTTGCTTGAGAATCACCAGTGGGGGTGCCATAGGACTGGGCAAAACCTGCATTCCTCAAATGGAAAGCAAAATACACTGCTATTCCAATATGTTTTTGAGAATCTCAAATATACTCGTAGAATATTCTGCCAGCTTTTTCATTAGAGAGGATACACTAGTGAATCTGAAAAAGAAACAGATCTGACAGAGTAGATAAAAGTGGAACAGGGGAGGAAGGTAGTAATGCAATGTCTGATACTGTTCCAGATCACAGCCAGGTCTCTCCTAGTGCCTCAACTTTGTCATAGACCTAGTCAAAGATGTTTTCTTGCCACTACTATAGTGGTAATCTGTTTGGCTCTATGGAAAGCATTATATTAAATACATAATAGCACGATTGATAAGGAGATGCAGGAGATAAGATATTTGACCCAGTCTCCTGCATTTTGGTAAGTTTTTCTTAGGAAAAGTATTTTGCAAATTAGGTATAGGAGAGAGGTGCAGGCCTAGGTGAACTTTAGTAAGTAGGGAATTGTTCAAAACTTATTAAGGCTTCTTTTGAATCTATAATTTTAAAAAATTTAGTCCCACTATTTTAGGAATCATGACCCCTTTTTATTATAGCCATATAACCTGCGACCCCCCATCATATTTGCATTTTAACCTTCTGATTGTAACTAAAGATCAACTGTAAGTAAAGATGGCGAAACATATTTAGGAGTGATAGGATTAAAAGTGAGTGTGATACTACTATATATGAAAAGAGTTGTTTAGTACCCGATACGTAGTTAAACATTGCCTGACTTACAAACAAGCACCTATGTGCTGGGGAGAGGCTGTAGTTCTGTGACAGAACACCTATTTTGGATATAGAAGGCTCAGTCTCCAGCATCTCCACCAATAAATTGAGCTTGAAAACTTGGAAAGCTGCTGTCAGTCAAAGTTATCAGTAGTAGGGCAAGGGGGACCAAATGTCTAACACAGGATAAGACAGCTTCCCGTGTGCTACATCAGAGGGTGTTGAGGAATCAGTTCAAAGTATATAAAACCCCAAGAATGTAAATAACTCTTAATATTTACTTAGAATTTAGTAAATAAATTCACTAATCATAGTTATTGCTTGGTCACTACTATAGGAGACCTATAGGTAAAGCCCAAGAGTAAGAGACTACAGTAGATTTTATTTTCCATTGAGAAGTGGATCCTGGACCCAACCAAGAGGATTGAATGTGAAAGCACTGGCACTTGCTCAAGAGGAAATGAAGCTCAATAGCACAGTCCTGAAGGAAGGAAATCTGAAAACAGGTGTTCTTCCAATGACACACACCTATCTTTTTAAAGTAGGCCTTTGGCAAATAATTCAAAGGAGAAGAGCTTTTGAAGAAGGATGCAGTATATATTGTCTTGTGGCTTGGGAAGAAACTGCAGTTCCTGGCATTCTTGGACCTGTCTTCTGGCTCAGCTGATATTTCTTCCTCAGATTCCAAAACTACAGTTTTCAGGAGGGAGGCATTATCTTGGGAAGAACTTCTGCGGGGAAGAGCCCCTCTGAGCTTCCCAAATGTTATACAGTTGGATGAGAAAGATGTTGATCCAGCTCTAAAAGACACTAGTTTAGATGTCTTCTGTTGTCTCTTCTTCTGCCTGGAGTTCTTTCTGGCTGAGGTGATATCTCTTCCCAGGATTTCAAGTCCAAGAGCTTTAGGCAGCAGGCCACCATCTTCGGGAAAGTCTCAAAGGGGAAAACAGCATTCACTGCAAGGCTGCTTTCCCATCTGAGAACTCATTATCCTCTCAGGTCTCTGATGAAAGAATGGAAGAAAATGCAATTGAAGGTATTCTGCTGTCTGATGTTGCGGAAGGAGAATCTCACTCTAGAAGGTAGCAGTTTAACCTTCCTCTTCTTTTACTTTGGGATGTGCCTATTGCAACTTCTGCTCTCTTTCCTCTGTGGTCCTTGTGGGGCAGATAAAAGAAAAAGAATCATGCAGCTATGAAAGAGCCCCTCTTATCAGCCTCTCTCCCTCTGGAACAGAAACAGGCTCTGAAAGTAGACAATGTAAAATTTAAGTAAGATGTGTGAGAAAGAAAGGTTACTTACCTGTAACCATGGTTCTTCGAGTGGATCTAGATCATACCATAAAATTGTTACTTTTAGCTCTGGAATGCTCCGAGAATGTCAGCGCAGGCGCAGACTAAACCCATATGTGTGTATTCACAGAGGCCACGAAGAAGAAATTGCCAATATCTGCCAATATCAAAACTTGATACACATACTGAGGCTAGTTTAAGTGATAAATCTTAATTCAGCAATACAATCTAGAGGTTACAAAAGAGTTCTAGAGTAATAATGGTTAATAAATTAAGGATGCAGTCCTTAACGGGGGGCGGGGGAATAGTTTGTAAACTCTTTCCATGCTCTGTTTTCTCAGGCAGGTTGTCGGAAAATGGCACACACCAGAGATGTGTTTCCTGGACCAAAATGCAGTTTCAGAAGCAGAGATGCAATAGCTAGAAAATTACAGTATTTCAAAACCAATTTAAGGCCTTTCTGAAATTGTACAATAACAATGTAGTGGAAGAAGGAAGCAATTGTCAAAGTTTTTTTTTTTTTTTTTTTTTTTTTGCAAAACATGCTAATTGGAGTCCCTAGTGAAATATGTCCCAAGGATTAGAAGATCTTCTATTGCACAACCCTACTTTTCTGCTCTCCCCATCCTGTGCATTTTCCATAGAAAGTACATTATTTCTGGTGGTAGACTGTAGACTAACCTTTCCAAAGTTTGAAGCACAAATGAAGCTTTGTTTAAACTCAGGTCTGCTTGTTTTGAGGGGAATCCCACTTCGCCTGGGATGCACCTATCCTATATCCAAAGGGGCTCCTTTCTGTCCAGACCCCAGAATTTGGACAAATCTTACGCAAATCCCTGATGACTATAACTATTTGATGCACATTCTGTACTAATATATATATTTTAAAACTACCCATATGTGTTTAATGTATATATCTTAATGTATATATCTTAAAAGTAATGTATATTTAAGAAGTATACGCATCACATTATTATACTCAGCCCTCATATCAAAACCAGTTGTTTAACAACCAAATAAAGAATAAATCTTGGGATTAAAAAATACATATTTATCATTCCTCTTGCTGAGAGGAATCAATTAAGGAAACCATCCACATTTCAAAATAAAGAATAAATCTTGGGATTAAAAAAATACTTGCTGAGAGGAATCAATTAAGGAAACCATCCACATTTCATGGACAAAGTAATATATAAAAAGCATTCAAACCTTCTCCACCCCACTTCCTCCACATTACTATGCCAAATGCATTTTTGAAAACAGCAAGTAGTTAAAAAGTATTCCAGGCGTTCGTGTTTAAAATATTTTGCAATTTTTGTAAAACACTGCAACTTACATAAGTCAATGAGAATAAAAGATTTATGCATTTCTTAAAAGAACAGGGTTTGCTAAATATAGACTCTGCATTTAAATTTTGAAGCAGCACAAATACAGACACAGAATACAGAAGCATTTTTAAAACTATAGAAAATTTTAAATTGAAAATAATTGTTTACATTTTCTTTATACATTAACGTACAAAAGGCCTCATTATATGAGGCATCAATAAATCAGAACATTGCTACAGCTATCTGAAAATTCAAATTTTGAAACAATTTATTACACTGAAGCTTTACAGGACTATACTAAATAAACAACTCAATACACCCTTACTACAAGATTGACGTTTCTGCATACTCCTGAAGTCTTTATGTTTAAAAAAATTTAGGCAGTTTAGAGGACTGACTATCCAATTGCATTGTAAAACTCTGTTAACTGCTTGATAGTCAGATATTTAAGTTAAACATTGTGCAAACTAATCAATGTATTACCAGTAATCTGTGTGAAATATTTCAATTAGAACATCTTCTGCCCATTATGGAGCAGGAAATGCAGGTCATATTTGTGTCTGGGAATTCAGCAGTCCTTTTCTACTCCTTCATTAGATTACTTTTATAAGTTACTATAAATTAAAATTTTCAAAGATATTAACTGATTTACAGGGACTCCCATTATCCACAAATGTACAATAGCTATAGCTATCTACCCACTACCACTCTTTTGTATATCCCACTCTGCTGCTACTTCCCAATAAGAGGAATGCACATACTGCTTAGTCACCACACTGTTAAGGGTCTAAAATCAAAGGGCAGTAAGACACCAGCACTAGGTAACAATGTACCTAGGACTTAGTATTAGGACAAGAGATTGTTAATACAATCCCTCATCTTGTCACTTTCTTTACACAGTTTTCAAAACGTGTTATTAGTTGAAAGAATCTGCAGCAACAAAATTTAAAATAAAGTATTCTTACTTTATATGAAAATTTCTGTATAACTTTTAGTTAAAACAACATATATATTTTCATAACTAAAGGTTAGCTGTTAAAACAAGATAATGTATGTGCATAGCAAGTGATGAAGTCTGTAGCAATGCTGGTAATTTTATGCTGGATTCTTCAGAAGCAGTTCAGCTGATCTCAAAATACCCTTCTCCATTTTGTTGATCTTCCAGCAGTTAGGATATTTGGTGAAGCTTATTTAAGAAGGCGTTTCCACAACTACATTCTGTACACTTGGAATAAGGTAAACACTTTTCTCAGTCTCTGTTGGTGTTATTTGCAGCAAAGGCATGTAAATTTCCCATCTGGCTGAGGCCACTCTGAATATGTGCAACATGGATCTCGACATTATTCTGAAAACAACTGATGAAAAGAAAAAGTTTTAGCATTTCTAAAATGTTCAGCATTCTGAACATATTTATTTTGTCAGTTATACATAAATGTCTGAAATGTGGTAATCTAAATTATTACCTGATATTCGTGGAATCTATGGAATTCTTGATGTCATTTAATGAATCTGTTAATGACTTAAACTCAAAGGAATTTAGATCACCTCCTTCTGCCAGACACTAGAAGAAATTAATAAAGAATTATAATTTCAAGATAAAAGGTACTTAGTTGTCTTACCAGATTTACACAACTATGACAGATGCTCTCCAGTGTTATTCAAAGATAAAATTATGTGTGAGGATGTTATCTGCAAGAGACATAAATTTGGGGATGACTCCTGTCTCTCTCTGCATCCTGCATGAGTGAGTTTTATTATTTATTTATTTAAGGTATTTTAACCCCGCCTTTCTCCTCAAAAGGACCCAATGTAGCTCACATCATTAAAAGGACCATTTACCTTAATTTGTAGTAATATTGCTGTAAGTCTAGAAATCAAATCTGTCAGGCTTTCATTTTGAACACAAGGCTGTCCAGTTGCTGATGTATTTGACTGTCTGACAATCTCATGAGCTTCTTCTTCACATCTTCGTCTCAGATCTGTGGGATGGTCTGCTGGCTGGAGACCTTGATCTGGAGCAAGCTGGGAGATGTAATTAATTTCACACTGAATTAGATTAGAAGTGCAAGGTATCCAAGTGCTAATCTAATCCCAAATTTCTAAAGCAATAACTAATTTATAGTCTATGTAAAATTGATAGGTTACATAGCAAGACCTCAGGTAGTGTTACCTTAACTAAATGATTTTTATATTTTAAAATAAAAAAGTATTTCATTGGGCAGTAGCAATATCCTGGTTTTAACACACAGTAGAAGATAATAAAGTTTTTAAATGAACTACGATTTTATATAGCTTCTGACAGCATTTAATATCCCTTACAATCAAAAGATAAATTCAAACAGAATAATAGAGCTGGTATAGAAGCCTTCTCCCTCAAGTGCTAGCTTTTAACTTAAAGGAAAACAATTAAAAACAGCATCTCTTACTAATCTGAAGTAGAATAGTGGATTCCATGATTTCATTTTTGTGCAAGTGTGCACCACACATAAGGGGAACTTGCAGTCCTTCAGCTGTTTCTAGACTTGAACTCCCATCATTCCTATCCAATGTAGCCTGGAGTAAGGCATGGTGGGAATTGTACAGAAACATCTGGATGGCCATTGATTCCTTATCCTTGAGTTAAGCTTTTCATCTAGCTCTATGGCAAAAAGGTGATAGAGAACTTTAGACAGGCCAGGTGGGCTAGCAAGTATGAGCAGTCTGTGGTTTGAGCAGAAGGGCTCTGAACCCTGCCAACAAGCATTTAAAGAAGGGGCCTCTGTAATAATGCTAGGTAGGAGCCCATTAACAACTCAGTTCTTATATAAGTACTGCCCTGCTTATATGGGGAAATCTAGAGTGGCAAATTTTTACCTCATAACAATACTGTTGAACTTTATGCAAAACTTTGTTTAGATCTTTGTTCAGCTGCTCAAGATCTAAAACAATAGTTGCGTATCTTCTTTGAAATTCAATTCCTATAGGCATAGAATAGGATTTCTGTATAAAAGAAAAAAAAGTAAGTCCACAAAGCAACACATTGATACATGCACTTACTGTTCTTAAATCATATTGTACACTGAAAACTGGACTTTTAACATTGTTATCTTTCAAATTAATTTTACTTATTCTCATTTTTGATGTAATTAAAAAAAACTTGTTGCATTATCAAGCCATGTTGCAAAAGCTGTGAGGATATATTTTTTTAATCACTAGGAAGTGAATTTTGATTGGGTTTAAGTCCTCTCCAAATCAACTGCTGCAAATAAATTGGAACTGCTGCTATAGATAATATCTGAGTACATATTTAAACATGCTAAAACAGCTTATTTTATTCTCTGTCTTATGGTGCGAAAAATACGGTATTTAAACTTGCTAAAACAGCTTATTTTATTCTCTGAACCAAAATGACTGATAACCACAGATCTCTTGGAAAATAGATATTCATTAAAGCCACAACCTTATACACAACTTTCTTCAAGTGCTGATCAACTTACCGTAACTGGGGTTTTGGAACAGAAATGCATAGGATCGCTCTGTAAGTAGGTTTTATGCATGTTACGTACTGACAAGTTGAAACCAACTTACAGTGACAAACTAATAGGGTTTTCAAGGTAAGTGAAATATTTAAGGAGTGGTTTTATCAGTTCTACAACCCCCCATGAGAAATTCGAACTCATGTCTCCCTAGTCTGTCACTCTACCCATTACCCCACACTGGGTATTGTAGGTAGGTTTGCCAAAGGCAAAATGGGCAGGGCTCCTGTATCTTTAATAATTGTACAAAAAAGAGAATTTCATTAGATGTACATAGCTTCCATGACAAGATATAGGTACTCTTTGTTTTGCCTGGTTGAAGTTCCATTTGAGAGTCATTTTTCACCAGCTACCAACAACTTGTACCAGTGCAAAGGTGATCACAGGGTACAGAAGGAGCAGCCAATGTGTAAGCTATATGACTTGCTGAACTTTATGACCAAGAATCCAGTACCCGGGTTTGCTTTTTGTCTCCTCCTCCTCAACTTTTTTTTTTTTGCAACAAATCTTTTCAATAGTTAACTTGAAGGCAGGGGCTCTCTTAATTTTTATATAAGTTATCTACCCTGGAAGATTTTTGAGGTAAAGAGTGGGGCAAAATATTTTAAATAAATACATATAGCACTTTCTAATAGCTGTTTGCAAGGATGAAATGGTTGACCACTGGGCTGCTGCACAAGTCAGAATGACACTGGAAGTTGCATCTGTATTTGTAGGTGTACCAGGTCTGGCATTAGTCCAGTCATACAGCCACATCCATGGGATTATGCAGTATGGAGGAGTTTCCAGCATGTTAAACAGTGATGTTTCTTGTTCAGCATCACCTTCTAGTGCTCAAAGTGATATAGCGTCTTTTCTTGTGCTACCTTGAAATCGCTCTGCGGTTTGCAATTATCCAGAGCTTCAAAATAACTCATTGAATTACTTGTAGTTCATGGGTTTGTTTTTTGCTAATAATCACGGCAAAATGTTACATTCTGGCTTAAATTACCTAGTCACCTAGCACAAATGGCATAACTTTTGCAGGCAATTGGTTCCAATGTAAGGATATCGTCATAGATATTATTAGTTGCATACTGAGTCGTATGACTCACTGTGCAGCTAATAATGTCTATGGTGATTTTTCAACTGGGGACAAGTTGCTTCCAAAAACTACACAATTTGCATAGTTATATCAGAAGATTTTGGCCAATGAGTCTAACCTAATGGGGGATACAAACTCCGTTTTGATGTAACAGTAATAGATTCTGCCTTATTGTTGCTTACATTTGGGGAGCAAGGCAGGGGAGTAAAAGATCCTCAGCCACTACTGCTAGTTCTTGGAAGCACCAGAGTGTTCCTCCACCTCTTACCTTGTAGAGGGGCAAAGTAATGAGTTCTCACATAGAACTGCCAAAAGCCAGGGACAGAGCCAAACCATGCACATTGTTACAAGTCTATTAGCTCTTCCGGAGGGTGTTCTGCAGACTAGCCTTGCAGAGAATGAGGTTACTTATCTGTACTGGTGCTTCTTCAAGTTCTCATATGTGGTTGTTTGAGTGGCCATAACACATATGGGTATTTCTGCACTTTTAACTACTTTGGGTAAAAAAGATATATCAGGGAAGATGGTGTCTTGTACAAAACCTTGTCAGAACATTCTAGAACTTAAAGAGTTAAGACATGCACATAACATGCACCTAGCAGTTATCCTTCAGTTTCCTTCCAGTCTGCCCTTGTCCACGAAGTGAAACAATCGGATGATGGGTGGGTTGTATGAATTCACAGATGACCATTTGAAGAACCATAGTTATGGGTAACTAGCCTGTTCTTTGTAATAGTCTCTGTGAATTACACATATGGGTGACTGGCAAGCTCACTTACCAGCCAGTGGGATGTCACACCAACAGAGAGAAAATTACTGCTCTTCCAAATGCAGCAACACATTTTGCCCTGATGTCCAACTGTAGTGCTTGATTAATGGTAAGGGTTGAGACCATGTTGCTGCTTTGTAAATATCCCCTGACCCCAAGCTGGAATCCCTTGAGGAAGGCAGTAGATACAGCAACAGCTCTTATGGAGTGTCCCTTCCTGCATGATTGTCTAGTATATGTATTAATTCATTTATCGTATTTTCCGCACCATAAGATGCAGTTTTCCCCCACAAAACGGGGGTGGAAAGTCTGTGCGTCTTATGGAGCGAAGAAAACATTATATTTTCCTGTTTTCTTCTCCTAAAAAATTGGTGCGTCTTATGGAAAGGTGCATCTTATGGAGCGAAAAATACGGTATTTTGTATTGCTGTCATCATGTATTTTTGGGGTTATTTCCTTTCAGTTATTTATTTCAAATGCCACAGTCAGATTGTGAACTGTGGCTGATTGCAGAGCACATACCATATACAGTGGTGCCTCGCTTAACGATTGCCTCGTTTAGCGATTAATTCGCATAACTACGTGTTTTTAAAGAAAATAATATGCACCGTATAACGATGTTTCCTATGGGCGATTTTCGCTTAGCGAAGTTTGGGACCATGCTTCGCATAACGAATGCGATTTTAGGTCCCCTGCTTCACTTAACAATGTTTCTTTTTTCAATTAAAAAGGTGTCTTAGAAGGGTCAAAAACAGTTCTAAATGCTTGGATTCGTTAGAGGACCCCCTAAGTCATGTGCAAACCTGATTTGGCTTTGATCTGACTTTTCGTTAATTTATGGTTAATTTTTTTTTCCGGCCCATAAGGAACCAATGGACCTGTCAAAATCTGACAGCTCCATGCTTTCCTATGGGGGAGAAAACAATTCGCCATAAATTAACGAAAGTTCAGATCAAAGCCAAATCAGGTTTGCACACGACTTAGGGGGTCCTCTAACGAATCCAAGCATTTAGAACAGTTGCTGTGTCTTCATTAATTTTTTGTGAATTTTTTCTTCCCC